GATACAATGGCCAAAACAATTCTATCCCCAGAAATGACTTATTCTACAAGTGTGAAGGCAGCAGAATGATTCTCAGACGTGTAAAACTAATAGTTTACCATCACATACCTTTCCTGGAGAAAGTAATTCAAGAAAGATTTCCAGTCAATTTAAAGGTAGATCAAAATTTTTTTAAAAGTCACACACTAGTTGTGAAGGGGGCATTGAAATTCTCAACTGCACGGAGGTTGCACCCAATGACTCAGCACCCTATGAGTGTACCTCATACAATCTGCATTCAAAATACTGATTCTCATTTTTGATAAACTGGAAATTCAGCAATCACTTTCTTATTATGGTAAAATATACATGCCATGAAATTGACCACTGGAACCATTTTTAGGTGTACGGTTCAGTGTCATGGACACACATTCACACCTGCATGGCTACTGTCACCACCATCCACGTCCAGAACTTTTCCATCTTTCCTTCTGAAACTCTGTACCCATTAAACATTAACTTCCCGTTTGCTCTCCCAGCAATCATTTTAAATCTGATTACATTGCTTACACTTTGTACCCTCTTTGGTCTTCCACAAAATATTACCTATATATGAAATTACCTTACACTGTTAACTATTATAATCCCTGTTTGTGAATTTTACACAACTAAATTCCCAAAACTTAGCATTGTATCTGGAGTCCATCAATTTTTCCCTCAAAGGAAATGTCCCAAAGGAGGAATTACCTTTCCTACTCTGCATTATTCTGTGCCACCTGAATATTTTATCATTAGAATTTTTTTTTTTTTTGAGATAGAGTCTCACTCTGTTGCCCAGGCTAGAGTGAGTGCCGTGGCATCAGCCTAGCTTGCAGCAACTTCCAACTCCTGGGCTCAAATGATCCTCCTGCCTCAGCCTCCCGAGTAGCTGGAACTACAGGCTCTCAACACCTAACCCAGGTAGTTTTTTTCTATGTTTAGTAGAGATGGGGTCTCGCTCTTGCTCAGGCTGGTCTTGACTCCTGAACTCAAGCAATCCTTCCACCTCAGCCTCCCAGAGTGCTAGGATTACAGGCGTGAGCCACCATGCCTGGCCTAAAACTCATTTTTAAAATTAAAAAGAAAAAAAGATGACATGCTTCAGGGAGTGCATTAAAGCTCAGAGGTGTGAAAAGCAACTGCAAGACTTGGAAGGAGGCATTCAATAAATATTTACTGAAACGGTACACAGGATACACAATAAGAAGTCCTATTTATCAAATGCTCTTTCAACTTCCGCATGACTGCACTAGCGGATCACTTATTTCTCTCCCTCAAAAAACATGTACTGAGGATTGCCAAGGGTGGCCACCTCTAGAACCAAGGTTCTAGAGCATACATTTTCAAAAGAAATTTGGTGCTGTAACCATCCCTACTGTTCCATCTTGCTGTGCGCGGCAGACCCTGCGTGGTGGTGCGCTGCGAGGAGGTACGAAATGAAGCACGCGCTGCCTACGGGTCAGATTTGGCTCTCAGGGCACCTTCCTGGTCCCTCCCGATCGCATCAACCTCCATTGCCAAGGGAACCACCACTTCCAGCATCCTAACCCTCTACATACATGGGTCCGGACAGACACAAACAATGGTGTTGCTTCCCTTTTCCTCCCTCCGCTGCGTGACACTGGAAGAATGTGCACCCCTGTCACTCTGCAGTCGCTTGCTTCTGGAGGTCATGGCAGCCGTGGGCCACCAGCACCCCGTCCTCAGGTAGGATTCATAGCCACTCAGGACCCTCAGCACCGCCCTGCCCGGAAGCCTTAGCGCTACCCTCACATGCTTCCTTTGGTCCTCAGCTGGACCCTGCAGCCTAGATTGTTTGCTCATCTCCATGCCAACAACCCACAAACTCCTTGCTCAGGAAATTCTTGTTCTCCCCAGTGTCACCCTCCATTCCATTCTACCTCCAATCTCCCGAACTCTCATCTCATCGTGAGCCTGAGCCTCTCGACTCAAATAATCAATTTCTTTGATCCATCACTCCAACCATTGGCTACCTTGACTCAGAGCTCCAATTTTATTACTCCCTCTCCATCCTGACTCGAAAACCCTCAAGGACTCCCCACTGGCCATCAAAGTAGGTTCGGGCTCATGCGCCAGCTTTCACGCTGCACCACAATGAGGGCCAACCCCCTTCTCCACCTCCCTCCCCTGCCGCAACTCCTGTCTGGCTAGACTGGAATATTCGGTGTTGTCGTGCACACTCCATGCTTTCCATCTCCCAGCCTTTGCGCACGATGTTCCCCTCACCTGGAAAGTTCTCCCTAGCAACCTCCTATGAATCTTCCTCCATGAAGGCCTTCCTGATCTTCCTGCTCAGATCTTCCCACTCCCTCCTTCGGCCACCTTAGAACTTCATACCTTTTATGGCATTGCCTTCATCCCGAATGCTGCCTCCTCGCAGATGTCCGGGTTTTCATACCACATAAGAAACATGTTGAAAATGCCCACTGCAAGGTAGGCCCCTCATCTTCACCTTCTGAATTAATACCTTCAAGGTTGGTTCACAGATAGGCTAATAAGGTCAAGGTCATGTGCTCTGACCTCCTGAGGTCAGCCAGCTTTGCTGTGCCCTGTTTTACGGCAACTGGGAGAAATCCTAATCATGTCATAAAGGGAGGATGCAATTTAGAGCAACGTCAGATAACTCACTCTGGATAGATTGAGATCTTTCCCAGAACTAGCCAGGGAGGTGGAAAGTCATAATTAACCAGAGAGGAAGGAATCCTAGACTGGGCTGCAGAAAAATTGGTTCCAGAGCCACCTATGGCTAACTACTACGTAATCTGCAACAAATGACTCCCCTCCCTGAGCCTCAGTCTCCACATCTGTAAAGTGGGGGGTGCTGAGTCCCCTTTTGGCCTGGTGTGCTTACAGATGCTAGCCTTTTCTAATTTACATAGTATACTATATATACTATACAAACTTTTATATATAGTATACTGTGTCTACACATGTCGGCCTTGGTGTCACAAGCATTCTAGAATTCCTTAGATGGGGCAGAACTCTCAGAATGCAAAGCTTCCACTCTGCCCTTAATCTTGCCAGTACTTTAGAATGTGCTCTTCCTCCTCTATCTTGGGTGTTGCCAGAATGACTTCCCTTTTCTTTTTTCATTTTTTAGAGACAGGGTCTCACTCTGGTGCTCAGGCTGGAGTGCAGTGGCACCATCATAGCTCACTGTAACCTCAAACTCCTGGGCTCAAGTGATCCTCCTGCCTCAGCCTTCCTAGTAGCTAGGACTAAAAGCATGTGCCACCATGCTTGGTTATTTAAAAAAAA